TAAATTTAAAGAACTAAATTTAAGGGGAGACATCTTTTGTATAGCTTTAATTTGTTTTGATTCGCCGATAAATTTCCACAAAAACCTTATTTTTTAATATCATTCTATACTTTATTGCATCTCTAATTACTCAATTATATTTATTAATTACAAAATGAAATACAAACTGGATGTCCATCATCTAAAAAATTGATACAATATTCTTTGAATGAAGTTAAATTCATCACACTATTTTAAATATTTGTTTAAAGCTTTTCTCGATTTATAATCATATATGAATCACTTCGACTAAAATGAAATGACAAACGACGTCTTATACAAAGTTTTTAAAAATTCTTCCTCCTGAATCCATCATCTCTCGATATTGAGTCATATTTATATAGTAGATTACGATACATGAAATACGACTTGCATTCGTAATACTTAATCTGTTAATACATATTAAAAAGTAATATCGAAATATTAATCGTCACAATTGATATACATAGTTATATTTGATTTTATCTTCGTTAAAGATCAAATGCGAATATAAAAATAATGAAAAAATTAAAAAATCAAAAGCAGAAAGAGAACGAACAATAATTCTTTTCGATTCCCATATACCAGGCCAAACACAGACATATACGTAATATACTTACTTCCGAAACGGGCTGTAAATGCTACCCCAGACGCTGGATCTTGTCGGCGAGGGTGGGCTGTTTTGATGTTGATTGGAATATCCGTAGCCGGCAAAAAACATATTGCGGTAATTGTTCCTCATCGGTATACGAAAAATATAACTTCCTGTACGAATAAAACTGTCCCCGTACGAAGAGAGACGAAATCACGCATATAAAACGACACGCATATAATACGAACTTACGAATAAAAGTATAACAAGAATAATAACAATCGCAAAAATAGTCACACGATAATACTAATAACTTGTACTTTCAATGAAACGCTTTGGCACGTTTATTTGGCACAGAATGTCAATGTACTCGAGGCTAATCAAGTGAGCATATCGGTGTAAACGTGATCGACACCGATGAAAGTCCTTCCTGGTCAGTCTTCTAAGAAACGTATAAATCGAAACCTAGTCTTTCTTTTTTTTTTTTTTTCGTACACAGTTCGAGTATAATGTGACCCGATGAACAAAAAGTTTCTATAAATTCTACACAATTGAAACTATGTTACCACGATCGACCTATATGTTCCTGGACCGATCAATGCAGAGATAATTCTCGTTCAAGACGACACGCCAGATGATTCACACCACTGTGTCCTGATGCATATTCTTCCTCTTCACGAAACACTTTTTTCATAAAGTTCAAAATTAACGTTCAATACGAAGTTCGATTGAAGAAAAAGAATCGATTGAAAAAAAAGATAAAATGCAGTCCGCATAAAACGCAACACCCTGTCACTGAATCAGCAGTTTGTATTTTAGCACAGTTCTCTTGGAAAAGAGTAACAATAATTTTCTTGCCGGTCGTCTATTGTCTTCCATCGTGAACAAAACACTCCCAATCGGTTAGGCGAATTTTTTGACTGAAAAGAATTTTAATTTATCCGTATGATGATTTTTAATAAAACTTTCAATCATTCATCCGCTCAGATGTTGCCACCATATCGATAACGATAGCGCGTGTACTTTCGACGAATGAAACGAAGAAGATATTGATGGTTATTGCACGTGACACCACGACAACGATCCTACTCTAACGATAGAATGAACGCAACTGAAAGCAGGCAGGCGGCGACACGGCTCACGTTCTGATCAAGGGGCGGCACGAGCGGAGGGTTTAAGGTCGGAAGATTCGTATGGCTGGTCGAAGAGCAACGCAGGCCGACGCATGGACCCCAACCGAATGGACGAACGGGGGCGGCGGAGGGAGATGGTAGAGTGGAGATAAAGAGCAGACGGAGAACGAGCGGAGGGAGAACCGAACGACAAAAACAGATAGAAAAGCAGGGTTGTAAAGACGCGAAAGCGCGGCGTACATCGGTCAAACGCAGTGTCTCTCAATTGAGAATCGAACAAGAGATAAGGCCATGGTAAGGAATATGTAATAGAAAATGATTGTGATTCATTTTTTATGGATAGTAAGAAAAAACAAAAAAATAAAAAAAAAAATTAATAATATAATGAAGCTTATGATAATACATTAAGTATACGTTTTTATTAATTAATATATCACGAATATACATAATGACAAAAAATTATGACGCAAATTTTAATTTATTTTAAAAAAACGAATCAAACTTTCAAATTAGAATTAAAAAAATTTCATAAATTCCCAATACATAAAACTATAGATTATATACTATTAAATATTGTTCTTTATCATTTATGATTATTTTTTTCTGATCATTTTACTCGAACGATTTGTTAAAATGTACTTTTTTTTCCAAGTCAGATATATTTTATTTGAAATAAAATGATAAATAATAATTTCAAACATTTTTCGACAAATCAATATTAGTATTCAAATTTAGTAATCATATTTAATAATTCAAAATTTTTGTAATTTTTTATATTATGTGTAATGAATTATATTTCTCAATTTCAATAATAAAATTTATATTTGAGAACCATTAAAACAAAAATTTGATCTTTAACCCTATTCAATGATAATCATTGTTTAAATAAATTGAGAATGAATATTATATGTATATAATAAAAAGTTATATAAATTATTGTAATATACAGCTTAAATATTTCTATTTCTATTTTACAACAACAATATATAATATAATATACAGCCATAAGTCATGCAAAATATAATTTTATAAAATTACATTTTTAACAGATATATAGAAAAAAAAAATAAATGTAACTTTAAATGTTTCTATGAATTCATATATTTATTTACAATAAATCTAATGAATTATGATTAAGTACTGTAATTACTAATTATTATATTTATTATATATTACAATGCTAGTATATGATTACTTCTTTATAAAATTAAAATCATTTTTAATAACCTATATATGATTAAAAAAATAATATAATAACAATTAAACTATATAATATTATTATAATCATTTCTAACCTTAAAAAAATTTGGTCTTAAAACGTTATTCAACTGTATATATGATTTCTTGAATAAATTAGCATATTATCGAAAACAATATAAATTTTTTAGAAAAAAATATAATTTTACGAATCTATAACGATCAAAAACAAATTATTATAACTACAAAGAAATTTGTTCATGGATGTGATACTTCATGAAAACTGTCGATAAAATTGTTTCCTATCATATTTATATCGAGTTAAAATTATTGAAAGAAATAATATCAAATATTTTTTTAAATTTTTCTTTAAAACGATTTTAAATTGTAAAATTTTATAATAAATTTTTCTATTATATTAACTGTTTCAAATATATATATAAATATATATAAATATATAATATGATATTACGTGTGATATATAAAATATATAAAAAAAAATATAAATATAAAAAGAGATATAAATTATAATTTCAGATAATTTCACATAATTTTCTTCTGA